GACTTCAACTCCCAGAATTCCCCACCCAACTTCTGGGAGTTGAAGTCCACCCGTCTTAAAGTTGCCAAGGTTGAGGAACCCTGCAGTAAAGGCAAGAGCTCTCTCAGCGATATCAACTGATAATTGCTCAAAATGTAAGTACCACCAGTTGTAGCGCTGCATATTGATGAACTCTTCCATTCCTCATATATGGTAGGAACCCGTTAACACATAACAATGCCAGAATAAAACACCAGTACGCCCACTTTGATCAGGCTTTCTGGTGTACTACAGATCATGGCTAGATGGTCACAGAAAGTAGAATTGTACATTTCAAGACTTTTTCAGAGCACTGGCAGTGAGATCATTTTCAGGAGCACCAGGGTAACTGATGGGCGTGCTTTGCTCAAGTAAGTGATAATGTAATAACAAGATCAACCGTGATTGTTGTTGGTGACTAGATTAGCACAAGGCAGTCAGAGAATGAGGAAACTATTCAAGCAGAGTGGATACCTCCTCCTTCTGAGGAATTTGTTTGCATGTACGATGACTCATGCAAGATGGTTTACATTTCTAATTAAAACAAAAGAATGCATTTTAGATTATTGTTAAAGCTCCATGTGTTTTACAAATTGAATCTATGCTGTCAGAAACAGGCATCCTTAGGTCTGTTGCAGTTTTATGGATCATCGTGAGTGTACTATGCTCTGTGTACATACATCTACACACACACAGTACTTCTACAATGAGAGCACTTCAAAATATATCACTACGTCATTGCGAGGGCAGCAATAAATATATACAGCCTCAAGCTCCTATACCTTCCCTCACGGTATTATTTTAATCCTGCAACATCCTGTCAAAACCACTGTTTGTGATCAGAAGACAAGCCCAGACAGCAAAGGGAGGAATGACGCTCAGATTGCATCACTTCCTTGCAGGAAGTACTTCTAGGACAGAGAGAAGGAGTCAAGCACCAGAGGGGAAACACTGCATGAAAGATTGACACCCTGGACAAAGCTGAAAGAGAAGCTGTTTTTTTGCACAAGAAGAGCTCTCGTGTAAGCAAAAAGGAACTGCCAAAAACCATGGAATAACTTAGTGGAAGGGAACACTACAACAGGAATGGACTTGAGCCATTATGAGGAAATGCTGAAATTCATTACAGGGTACACGTTACTTTTCAGTGTTCTGCCAGCAACAATAACATCAGATAGCAAAGTAGGAGACAGCAAAACTGAAACAAAATTCACAGACTAGCTCTCACACAAGTGGCAGAATGCCTTACTAAATTTAAACAATCAGGACTTAATTTGTTAATGTCCTTCAGCCAGAAAAAGAGGAGGAGGAGGAGGAGAATTCTGAATTAATCCACTGCAGGATGAAGGCCTCTTCAGGTGAAGGTTATGGATCAAAATCTACCATGCTGATCCACTCTGGTTGGTAGATAAATGCTTTTCAACTTTCCAGTCTAGGACCTGGCCCTAGTTACCTAGCTGGCTTTCAACCTAAGGATGGGCTAATTTATTGCAGATAAATAACTGGAATCCTCTTTTTTTTAGTCATGATAGTAAGACGGGATGAATTGTGTAATGTAAGGGCCACAGAGATCATTTAGACCAACCTTCTGCACAATGCAGAAATTGACCCCAACAGCGTGTTTTGGGGTCATTGATAGTCATCCATCAAAGGAGAGGCCACCACCCAAGGCAGTCTGTGAAAAATACTGTTTAGTGTCCTCCCTCATAATTTTTAGCCACTGTTTCTCATCTGGTCCTCTGGAACATCTCTAAGCAGTTCCCCCTGGTCTCTCCATGATAGACTTTCAAATATTTGAAGACAGCTATCCTGTTTTTCTAGGCAAAATATAACCCAACACCTCCTACTGTTCCTCCTAAATTTTTCCTTCCAGGCCCCTTATCATCTTGATAGATCTATTCTTGACTCACCTTAGTTTATCAATTATTTTAGTTTCCTAAAATGCAGTATCCAGAACTGGATGCACTATTCTTGGTGCAATCTGACCAATACAAAATGGAGAGAAACATCTTTGTCTTGTTTCTTTAATTACAATATGTTGATGTAGCCTAAGATTGAATATTTTTTTCTTTTTGCAGCTGTATTACACTATTGGTTTATGTTCATCTTGTGATCCACCAAGATAGCACAATCCTTTTTGCATGTACTGCTGCTAAGTATGCACCTTTTATCCTATAACTGTGTCTTTGATTTTTCCTACCCAAATGTAGGGTTTTGCATTTGTCCCTTGAAATTTATCTTGCTCATTCCTATCCATTGTTTCAACTTTTCAACAATCTTTCTGAGCCTTAATAGTTTTCTGAGGTATTTGCTATCCCCTCTATCTTTGCATCTTCTGTATTGATAATCATATTTTCTAATCCCTCATCCAAGTCATTTAGATGATGTTGGACAGCACAGGACCTAAAATGGAACCCTGCAGTTTGACACTCAGCACTTCGCTCTAGCTTGATGCAGAGCCATTGACATACTTTTGGGGTATGATTGTTGAACCAGCTCTGTATCCATCTACTGTAATGATAGCATAGTCCAGCTCATATTTTGTCATCTTTTCTACTGTAATCTCATGGGAAACTTTATCAAATGATTTGCTAAATAGGAGATATACTGCATGCACTACATTCTCTTAATTAACTTGGTCACTGAATCAAAGAGAAAATTAGGTTGGTTTGACATGATTTACTTTTGATAAACCCATGCTAACTCCTCCCAGGCAATGTGTTCTTTTCTAAATGCTCACACAGCAACTGCTTAATAATCTTCCTACTATGGCTTGCTGTAAAGTCTAAAACCCTATTTACTGAATATCCTATTTAACTGTGCCTCTGACACGTGACTTTTGAGAGTTTGGACAGAAAATGGATCTTCTGTCAGTAGTGTTCAGGCTTAGATATGAAATGGAAACTGCACTGGTAGCTCTTGCAATTGTTAATTTCCATATAGCTGGCAAGCCCAAGAAACAACTCACAGAATTCAGAAAGGCGTATTTAATTCTAGTCAGGGATGAAACACATTGTTGACAACTGTAAAGGTCCCCAGGTAGCCTTATAGCAAATCAATTAATGCATAACCTCTTTGAAACATTTCCTTCCCAGAGTCTCCCATCTGACTGGGCTGCCTCTTCTCACACCAACTGAACTCACACCTGTTTCTCACAGTCTCTCACTTAGTTAACTTCCATGGGACCTAGAGGGAGCCCAGCTCTCCTCATACTTTTAGATATCTCAATATGTAATACCAATCTCCATGGTATCCTTCTGGACAACCTGCAAGGAAGGGAGCTGGAGGTGCTGTGATTTTGTTCCTTCCAGAGCAGGCAATTATGATTATATTAATGGAGGAGTATTTAAGCATGTCACTGCTCCAGTATGGAGTGCCATAGGGCTTGTACTCTGTTCCATCTTATTTAACATTTATATGAAACTCTGGGAGAGGTAATCTATTGGTTTGGAATGAAGCCCCACCAATATGCTGATGATACCCAGGTACATGTCTCTACCTTAGCTGGGCAGAAGATGCTGTGTACATTCTAAACTTGGAGGTTGTAACAAATTGGATGGGATGAAACAGACTGAAATTGAATACCAGCAAGACAGAATGGCTATTTGTTCAGAAATCAGGTATTCTCTGGTGGCTCCTGTGCTAACTCTGAATGCAGTTGCATTCCCCTGAAGGAGCAAGTCCAAAACTTGCTATTCTAGATTCACAGCTCCTGCTAGAACAGCAGGTGGAGGCTGCAGCTTAGTGGAGGGAGGGGGACTTTGCTGTGCCAATTGTAGCTCTATCTAGAGCAGGTAGTCTTAGTGACAGTCACTCACATCCTTATTATTGCACTATTGCAATATGCTTTACTTGGAATAGCCTTGAAGACTACCCAGAAACATCAACTGGTGCAAAACAAAGCAGTCTACATGCTATGGCAATACTATACCAACATTACAAGTGCTGCATTGGTTGCCAGTTTGTTTCTGCATACAATTCAAGGCACTGGTAATTACCTATGCATTTTTATATAGCTTGGTCTAAACTATCTATAGGATTGCCTCTTTCAGAGGCAATTGACTTATTGTTTGACCAATCCATGAAGGAATGCTCCGAGTTCTCCCTCTTCAACAGACAGAGGTGAATGGGCCCAGAAACAAGCCATTTCAATAGCTGCCCCATCCTTGTGGAATATGCTGCCCCCTAGAATCTATACTGCCCCCCTCCACGTGCCTATCTTTTCATAGAGCAACAAAGAACTGCCTCTTTAAGTGAGCACTTAAAGATTAGGAGCAGCAGCATGGATTGGTTTTTAACCCTCATATGTTTAATCTTGTTTTTATATTATTATTGTTTGCAATGATAAATGCTATTTTATGAGTTTTTATTTGGATGTCAGCCATCCAGAGTTTCTAGAGCTGGGAAGAATATAAATTTTAGTAATAAATAATGACAGATAATAATAAAGGGATAGTAAAAGACAGCCCAACTACTGAAATTTTTTAAATTCTGAAATCTACAAAAATCAATTTCCATTCCTGTCATTTATACATATAAATTGGCTCAAACTATATATGTGACAGTCTGAAATAAGTAAAGAAAGGGTTTGGGGGAGGCAATTTATCCCTATAAGAGGTTTCTGTGGCTCTCATAGCTGTAGAGAGATTTTTTTTCTTTTAAGTGCAAAGGTTTGTCCACATTTTTTGACATTCTGGTTGCTTCCAGTAAATCTATTATCTGATTATAGATTTTGAAAGTTTTCAAAAACACTCCCTGCACAGAAGAGAGAGGCAACTGCTCTTCCTCCTACCTTTCCAGACCCTCATGGCAAGGTTTAAAGCTTGTTTTCTACCGCCACCTAGTGGCTTTCTTGTGAATGCCAACTTCTATTCTTTACTATTAGCAGCATGTTGGGTATTTATTATTGTCTGCCAGTATGCAAACCCAAAACGTGACATGCAGGCAAGATGCACCAATGTTCAGGTCCATAAAAACTTGTAAGCAAAAGAGTAAAATAGCTCAAAGCCCTAACCCATGGTTTACAAACATAATGGCTGAGTTCACACAACATGCTAGACAGTGAATAGACATCAAAGAAAGTCAATGAGCATTGCTTCTGTTGAGGAGCTGACATTCCAAATCAATAAAATAACAAAACTATTTCAAAATTATGGTTGTAACAGCATAAATATGGAAGCACTTGTAAATCTTGAAAACAAAGGACTTGATGTTAAGGGATAGCCTATCAACAACAGCTTGCACTGCAATGGATAATACAGAGTGAACACTATATTCAAATTCACATTTTCAGAGCCAACTTCTTTCAGTCTGCAGAAAATAGTTACTTCCTGCTCTTATGCCACAAAAGTTAGAATTTCTGTCAGCACAAAATCTAATTGCTTTTACTTGTGAATTGAATTTAACAAGTCTTTCCATATAGCATGGTAGAAATTTCACCTAACAGAGGTAAATGCCAACATTTTTACTACAATTCTCTCATAATATTTAAAGTAAAGCATTACTATGGGTATCATCTTAACTTCTATTGAAGCATCAACTGACATCAAAATATAATCTGTACATAATCAATCTGTCTCCCATGTTTTCAGATCATCTGTGGCAAACTGTGCAAATATATTCATAACTAGAACTTTGGTCTTTGTATGACAATAGAATTCCTCATACATTTTTCTAATTAAAGCAGAAGTGTAGTCAGTTGACCAAAACGGTAGTTGTGCATTACAACATAAGAAAATGTGTCTTCAGGTGCAGCTCTTCTTAATTTATTTTTTGTAGTTCTTCACGGTATGAATATTACATTTAGGAGGCATCTTTATTAGCAAGTTGTTTCCACGAATAGGATTGCAGAGTTTTTTGCACAAAGGAAAACATACATTTAAAAAAACAAAATAAGTTGTATCAATATACTGTTCAGAGTATTCTTGACTTTATTACGTGCCAACAAGTCATCTTCGACTCCTAGTGACCACACAGATAGATTTTCTCGATGACGATCTTTCCCTAACCTGGTCTTTCAGGTCTTCCAACAGTGCACCCATTGCCACTGTAACTGAGTCCATCCACCTTGCTGCTGGTCGTCCTCTTCTTCTCTTTCCTTCCACCTTTCTCAACATTAGAGCCTTTTCCAGAGATCTAAGTCTTCACTTAACGTGTCCAAAGTAGGATAATCTGAGCCCGGTCATTTGTGCTTTGAATGAGAATTCTGGATTGATTTGTTCAGTGATCCATCGGTTTGTTTTCTTGGTTGTCCATGGTATTCTCAGGAGTCTTCTCCAACCCCAAAGTTCAAATGTGTCAATCCTTTTCCTATCTTGTTTCTTCAAAGTCCAACTTTTGCTTCCATAGTGTCACAGGAAATACCATGGTTTGCATGCATGGTATTGCATGATTCTGATCTTTGTAGATACAGACACATCGCAGCATTTGAGTATCTTTTCCAAGGCCTTCATGGCTGCTCTACCAAGTGCTAGTCTGCAGCATATTTCTTGACTCCTTGTTCCTTTACTGTTGATGATTGATCCTAAAAGGCAGAAGCTACCACAAGTTTGATATCTTCATTGTCAATTCTAATTTCAATTCTAATAATCTTGACTACAGGATTTAAATTTTAAAATTATTTTTGCCCAGATGACTCTTTGTAGCTTGCATTCTTTCTGAATTACCCTATTTAACAACAGTTTTCAATAGCAGATACCAAATTCCAAAGAGGAAGTTTTTCACCAGGTGCAGTGAGCATGAATGGAATAAATCTTTTCTTTCAACGTTATCTCCCATTCCATCAGGAAGTCCGCCCCACACCCCTCACCATGAATTACAGAAGATCCTGGCGCTATGACGACAGCCTGGTTACTTATTACTACTTCTGTTGCTGGCTTCCCTTCTCGCGCTGCGCACTCGACCCGAAATACTTGCGCAAGCTCAACAAACAGCGAACGTGGGAGGCATTTCCTCTCCTGCGACTGAGTCGAGTGAAGCCGCCGCCGCCTGCTCTTCCTCCCTGTTGTTGTTATCCGAGAGAGGTTCCTGGAAACCAGGACGTCTTCTGGGTTTCAGTTGTTGTCGGAAGGGGCCTGAGTTACCTTCCCAAAACCCGGACGTTGGTCACCCAACTGTTAGGTCGCAAGCAAGCAAACCACATTATGGCTCAGCCATGTTGCTTGATATCAATCATAACATGAGAAGCTTGTGGTTATCTTAGTATGAGATAATTACTATGAAAAATATTAAACATCTGCTTAACGCGTAAGAAGTCTCTAATGGCCAACTACCTCACAATGAAAACAATCTTTGTGATTTTAGGAACCTGACTGAAAAGGCTCTCGCTGTTTCCAGTAGGCACTCTTTCATTTATGTTACTGTTCCAGTCCTATGACTGGATTTCAGCTTCTGAGCAAAGGCGCTCGCTAGAAATTCTGCTGACCAATGACTGGCACAGGACGGAGACACGAACGTCCGGAACAGGCTCGGGCCGCAACCACCGCGCACCACCCCAAACCACAAACGACTCCGGGAACTGGAGAGCCAGCTTGCCAGTACCGTGCAAGAAATCCAACCCTTATAGGCTGAGGATTAGAAGCTCTTAACCAATAGGAGGTGAGCTTTTCCGGGGAGACCCTCCGCCGGTGTGACCCTTCCCGCGCTTCGGATTGGCTTGCATCCTTTGGTAGGCGGGCACGGCCGCCGCTTCCCCGAAGCGTACGCTGAGTAGCGGAGCTTGGGCACAGCCGGGTCTTTCTTGCTAGGAAGCGCGGGCGGCTGCGAGAGGGGCGAGGTCGAGCTGAACAGCGGCGCTGGGGAGGCTCCGCCCCTTCCCCTGATTTGAGATTGGGGTGACTGGAGCGGAGCAGGATCGAGGTGAGGGTCTGGTATCCGGTGTGTCTCCATTATCTGGTCTAGGGAATCTGTGCCTGCCTTCTCCACGAAGCAAACTTCTCCAACCTAGAACCCTCCAGATGCGATGAACGCCTATAGTTCTCGCCAGCGCGGCAAGGACGTGTCGGATGGGAGGCTGACGATTTTAGCTCAGTGCATCTGGACGGCGCCAGGTGGGAGAAGGTGCCATATAGGGAATGTTTGCTTCATCGCATCAGTGTGCTTGGTTTCAAAGCTCTAAGACTTAAGTTGTGGATTTTTGTGGTTTCCCTTCCTGGAAGGATGCTCATGCTGGTCAAGTGGAAATGCAGCTGGTGAGGCTTGCAGACACAGCGATGGAGAGAATACAGATGCTGGATTTCTTTGTGTCAGGTAGTTATTAAATCACAGATCTCTTCAACTATGAGTAAGTTGAAACCTTCATTTCTGGGAAAGGATTTAGGCTCCTTTTCTGCCACTGAGATGACGGAACAGGGCATCTGTCATGGTTTATTTTTCTCTGTTTTGATGCAATTTGATTCAGGTAATGGGGTTGCTGAGCTAGACCATAATGCAGAATGTAAGCTGGTCTTTTTTTTTTCTACCACAGATGCACCTCTCAACTTTTGACAAATGTAGGTTAAGGATCATAATGTAGACCTGTTAGTGCTTGTCAGCATAATTGTTAGATAATGATGTAGGGATTTATTTTCTTCCTAACTTTCCCCCCTATATAATGGATATTTACGAGCAGGGAATTTGGTGTGTGGCTGTAACTAAAGAATGGATGATAATTGGGCTAGATTAATACATGTAAATATAATATGATTTTATGCATTAATTTTTGTTTGCAATGCACTTTCCAGTGAATTCTCATGCAACTTCTGTGTTATCTTCATTTGCTTGTTGTTATTGTCCGTATGGGAAATATAATTTTGTGTAGCCTTAGAACCATGCATTCCAAGGACAGATGGCAATTTGGGTTTCACTATAGTGGCCCAGAAATGAAATGTGTTGTTGGTTTATTTATTTGCTTGCTTGCTCATTCATTTTTGTTGTTAAAGGCTGATGTTTACAATTTCCACTGTTTAACAGCCTTTGGATTTTAGGTTTTAATAGATAATGTGTTAAAAACAGTTTTATTATTTCAAAAATGATCACCTTCTTAAGTTTCCCTTCAGGGAAATAAATATATGTTTTAAGTAAAATCACAAATGTATATTTACAGTATGCAGGTATCAGAACGTGATGGTGGATTGTCCACAGGAAATGGATTAGACAGCCCCACAGCATCCGATGCCCAGCAAGTTTCACCCTCTCACCCCAAGCCTCCTTCCCTGGACCTCTTTAATCTGGTGGTATCCTATAAGCAGCTGGAGCTGTACCTGGAACCACTGCAGGATGTTGTTGAAGGAGTGTGGTTCCTCCTCAGGTGGGTGCCCTTCTATGCAGCTATTTTTCAGGTCATAGTTCAGCAAAATTTATACCTGTTGTCATTCTTGAGGACAGAGGAATAAATACTTTTTGCAAGATTTGCTTTTTCAAGTGAGAAAAAGGGAAGCTGGCCTAAATCTTTAAATCAGAGGATGTATAACACCCTATGGTCATTAGCTTTCTTTTATCCACTTGAACGTTAGTTCCTTTCAGCTTAAGGAACTTACAAAGTTACAGCTTAAGACCATACAAAGAGCTTTGTTAGACCATACCAAAGCTTACCTAGTCTAGCATTCTTTCCCACACTGGCCATCTATGCAAGTACACTTTTTAAGATTATAGTTGCTGGGGTTCTGAGGTTGCATGAAGCTCCTGAACCTCCTTTTAGTAGCTCTTAGGGTCCTTTTGACATTGCTTTCAAACTATGTCTGTAGTTGCTGGTATTTAACTCCTGCCTTATTGGAAACAGAAGAAATCTCTAGCATAAGGTGTTACATAGGTTTCACACACTTTAAAAAAGAAGAATTCTGGGTTGCCCCAAATCCCAGGAAAAATGTATGTATTCCAAATTCTTTCTAATTCTTAATGCAGCTTTATTCACTTTTCCTCAACACTCTCCTTAATTAAGCCATTAGCCCCCAAAACTTCCAGATGTGGCCTCTGGCCATCAAAAGATTGCCATCTTCTGGTTCACCAGCAGGATATAAACACAATAATTTATTTCCTTTTGGTCAAGAGGTCCATTGCTCCTGTTTCTGGGTTTACTGTAATCTGAAGTGACTTATGATGATCTGATCTTCTTTCACCCCAGCTGTTCTGACTTTGTACTGCATTTCTATAATAGTGTCCTTTTGGTATTGTAGTAAATGTTTGATTGTTTCTACTCCACAGCTGGCAGATGCCCTTCTGCTCTCTCCTTACTTGCTTGGGGGTCAACTTTCTGCTGCTTACTCTGAGTGAAGGTGAGAAGTGTTGGATGCATATGCTGGGGACCTGTACAACTCTGTTTTGTCAGAAATTGTATGATGCAGGGTGGAATTAGTGGGCAAATAGAATATGATTTTACTGAGGATACATTTACAGAGGCTGGTAGAAGCTTGTCATCGCGTATGGTGGGGAAATTGCACTGATAGCAGGTAGAGAAATCTCCTTTGATGGGGCAGTATGTTATGGGGAGGAATAAAACTGCTGCTGATTAGACGAGCTGTGGGTGGTTTAGTAAACTCTGCATCTCTTCCATCTTGTATTGTAGCTGCTTGGTATGGGCTGTGTGTCCTGCTGATCTCAGTGCCTGCCATGCTCGGCTATCTACAGGAAACATGCCGCATCCGTCTGACTGAAGAGCAGCTGGCACGCCGTAGGTATCACAGTGTACGGCGAGAGGATGTGAGAAAAGTTCAACTTTCTCGAAACGAGGCTGTGGCTGAAGTCAAGGGCTTGTAAGTGCTGCTTGGGAGAGGGGGGGTGGGCCCTTGGGCATTGTTTGAACATGGTATTGAAGGGGTGTTGCTTGATAAAAGTTGATTCTTGTGCTAATAAGGCTGAAGGGGGGAGTGTTTTATACACTGGCTTGAACTCCTGGAAGTAAGGCAGGAAAAAAACCATAACAAATAATAATAGGAAATTCCATAGGCTGAGTCCACTGTAGTAAGTTTTTCATTTCTGAAGTCTTGTTCACTGTGGTGCAATAGCTAATCCATCACCCCCCCCCCCCCATGATTACCATTTCTTGTGTTATTTTTCTGTTTGGGTTTGTGTCATTTTTTCCTATCTCTTGGGCTATTACTACAGGAGTGTTTTCAGCATAGACAGGTGGTGTACTGTTACACCTATATGATAGGAATGGTTTAGCTAGACAACTGCTTTGTCTCAGTCTTTGGTGGCAACACCTATCACATCCTGCTATTTGTTTTTCATCAACCTGATTATTACCCTTTTTGTGACAATTCATGTTTTATTTTTTTTATCAACCGTTTTTCTCTTTGAGTTTTTGTTTTGTTATTTAGGGATGCTTCAGGTGAACCACTACACAGGTTTGCAGAATGACTGTTTTTAAACTGTTTATTTTTTCATTCATGGAGCTGCAGAGTTGTGCACAATTGCACAAAGTTGACTTTAACTTTTTTTTTCCCTTAAAGTGGCTTTCACAAAGATCCAGGCAGGTACTAGCATAGTATTTATTGATTCATCACATTTATATAGCTGCTCATCTCACATAAGTGACTCTGGGTGGCATACAATAAAAACAAACCATAAAACGAACATTCAAACTTACATCATAATGAAAACACTAATATTAGTTAAAAAGACTAGGAGAGAGCATCTTCAATATTATGTGCAATGTAGCCATCTCATCAGTTTTCCATTTCCCTGAGGTTGCCATGCCTGTTGCTATATCCACGTTTTAAGGGATTTCTGGAAGGTTGGCAGGGATAGGGCCAATCTTGCCTTGGGGGGGGGATGATGTTCCACAGGGCAGGTGGCATGGCAGAAAAGGCTCATCTCCTGGGTCCTGCCAGATGTAACTCCTTGGCAGATGGGACCCTCAGCATACCCCTTCTGCCGGACCTGATGGGAGGGGTAGATGTAATTGGGAAGAGGTGGTCCCTCAAATACCGGGCGCCATGCCATGAAGGGCTTCAAAGGTCAAAACCAGCACCTTGAATTGGGTCCAGAAGCAAACTGGCAACCAACGCAGCTCACGGAGCAGAGGTGTAATGCATGCCATTCTAAAGGCATACGTAACTGCCCACGTTGCCGCATTTTGTACCAGCTGGAGCTTCCAGATACTCTTAGAGGACAGCCCCATGTAGAACGCATTACAATAGTCTGCCAGGAGGTGACCAGGGCATGAATGACTGTGAGCAGAGCCTCCTGATCCAGGAATGGGTGCAACTGGCGCACAACACGAAGCTGTGCAAAGGCTCTCCTAGCCATGACTGCCACCTGCTCTTTGAACAGAAGTCGCAAGTTCAGGAGGACTCCCATATTGTGCACTGAGTCTGTCTAGGGCAGCTCAACCCCACCCAGTACCAAAGATGGCAAAGCCCTAGAACTGGAAGGCCCCAAAGCCCAAAGCTACTTAATCTAGCCAGGGTTCAGCCTGTTGTTCCCCATCCAGGCCCCTGCAGTTCCCAGGCACCAGGTAGGGCATCAACAGCATCACTTAATTCGCCATGGGTGGAAAGGTATAATTGGATATCATCAGGGTACTGATGATACTTCACCCTGTGGTGACAGATGATCTCACCCAGCGGTTTCATATAGATGTTAAATAGAAGTGGAGAGAGCACCAAACCCTGTGGCACCCCATATAGTAGAGGCTGAAGGTGGGATCACTCGCCTCTAATCAACACTGACTGGTAGCAATCCTGAAGAAAGGAGGAGAACCAGCACAATACAGTGCCACCCACCCCAATCCCGAGAGTCAATCCAGAAGGATACCATGGTTGATGGTATTGAAAGCCACTGAGAGGTCAATTAGAGCAAGGATGGATGCACCACCTCTGTCCTGCTCTTGCCAGAGATCTAAAAGTGTGACCAATGCTGTTTCCATCCCATACCCAGGCCTGAATCCTGAATGATAGGGGTCCAGATAATCCGCTTCATCCAGGGTCCTCTGAAGCTGCTGCGTGACCACCTTCTTTACTACCTTCCCCAAAAAGGGGAGGTTAGATATTGGATGAAAATTGTCCAGTATGGTGGGATCCAGCAGTGGCTTCTTGAGGGGGTGAACCAACGCCTCCTTAAGAGATGGAGGAACAGCTCCCTTGCTCAAGGAAGTATTAATCACATTACGAACTGCACAATGTGTGTGCATGTATTGTGAGAGGCAGGGAGGAGAGGACACATTGGTGTTCTGCCCTCCAATCTACCCCATATTCCAATAAATGAACCCTTTAAGTAGCACAACATAGAGGTCAGCAGTTGCACGTGCATCAAACGTGAGGGGATATTGATTGATTGGCTGACTGGTTTATATGCTGCTCCAGTCATCCAAGAGTTTGGGAATGGACTGATTGTGTCTGAAGACAACTGATATGACATCACAGGTGCCACATGATTTGCTATACGTCCCACACTTCACTGTTTGTGATATGATGTAACAAGAATTGTGCAATATCAAATATAACACAGTAATGATGCATGTGTGGAGAATTTCTCTCTTAAGAAACTTTGGGTGATCATTACATGTTTACTTGCACTGCCACTCTGTGGATTCCCCCCACAGAGTAGCTGTTTGTAAGAAGCATTACATCATTTCACCCATTGGGAATATTACATACCTTTGAGTCTGTAACTCTATACTGGAGGGAGAGTTACTAGACATATACATGATTTCATTACTAAACTTCACAAAAGTACATAAAAGTTGATATTCTAGATAGTGGATTGATTTCAGTCACTAAACAAGTCATTTTTAAATCGTTGATTTTAATCAACTTTTTGATATATTTACAACTGAATACAACTACATCAATTGACTATCATGTGACTATGTAGTTACTAAGGGTTTTAGTTTTTATCTTGTCTTCTTTCTTGAGATTATTCATAACATCTTTTAATTTTCCTTCCTTATTTACACTTCTCCTCCAGTATACAGTTTAAAGACCTGTGCTGGATCAGACCAAGGCCCATCTAGCCCTGTGTTCTGTTCCCACAGTGATCAGGTAGAAATTCACAAATGGGATAGGAGAGCAATAGCAGGTAATTCATAGCCATCATGGCTAGTAGAGGTTGGCAAGAAGGGATACATGCTTTTGCCACTGCAGTTGGTCAGGACACTTCTTAGATAAGGGACTAATTTAACCAGGTGCCAGTATTATCTCCTTGCCAATTATATGTTTTATTTGTTCAATAAAAATACATCTTTAAATACTTTGCATGGAATATTTTGATTTATGCATCTTCCTTTTCTAAATACAAACTGCCTTTTTACCTTCTATAAAGATAAAAAATAGTTTGATAATTTTATGGCTTTCTTTGAATAGAATGACTTCAAGTGCATGTTCTAATCATGCTAAAATACTGTATACACTTATAAGTCTCTGAGCTCTAGGAGATTTACATTTGGGTAGGCATGTGTAGGATGGATGTGTAGCCTCAAAGAGGTTCTCCAAAGTTGCTTGTTGTTGTTACTTATAAGGAATTTCTGCTTATGGCAGAGGCTTGCTCAGGATTGCCTAATAAGGTGTCATGGCTCAGCAGGGATTTGAATCCAGGTCTTGCATATTTGGAATATATCACATGTTGTAATGGATCATGCTGACTCTCGTCCAGTCTGGGAAACTGATACAGCTGCTTTTTGCCTCCATCTCTGCCTGCCTATCTAGGGCTAGCTGGCATAAGAAGCTCCTGCAGGTCTCCCCCAACTCATGATGGGTGAGCTTAGCATGTCACAATTGGTAACTTACTCACCCAATTACTAATCTAGTGTTATAAATTTGGACAAAAGTTCTCAATTTAAAAACTCATCATAATCTGTAGCTTTCTGCATCCGTTTTTCACTAGCATCTGTAATATATTCATCCCCATCCAGTGGGTCACAATGTAAAGACTTGTGACAGCACATCTTTCTTTCCTGTTACAACACATGCTTCATTTTACAGCATCTGGCATCTAAGCATGTGCAAAAGTGGGGGAAACCAGATACCTAAGCATGCTAAATGCACATGTGGCAAAAGTATGTATTAACGTATCCCATCTTGGTTTGAATTACAAAAGTATTAAATTTTGCTGGAATGTTTGGAACTTGCGCTTTTTAAAACAATGAAAGCCTATTAGAGCTGACTGATTTTAAATTTTGGTAGCTTCATTAATCCTAGCCTCTTCTGTGTGTGGACAAAGAGTCTGCTTTCTGAGTGTTGCTGCTTTCCATGATTTCCATGGAATAAATAAAGTGGTGGGGAAAGCTTTCTCTGTGAGCTTAGGTTGTCGAAGTCACCACGTTGTAGTTACCGTCTGGCTGTGAGCTACATAGCACAGTTATATTTAAAGTTGTTGTCCTTTCTTTTCAGCCTGATCCGATTAGAAGCCCTCCTGAACAGGCTCTGTGGTGGCTGTGAAGCAGCTTACCGTGTCCTCTTCTGGGAGAACCCTACGGTCTCCTCCCAGTAAGTATTGGCTTAGGACATCTTTTCACATCTAATTTAAATTGTTCCTTTAATTGTGTATACATAAACCGATGGCAAGGATGCCCAGTATCAGGCAGGGGGAAGGAAGGAAGCCAGGCTTTTACAAGAGGTGAAAAATTGCTGCTTGAAAGTTCCAGCTTGGTGCTGAGGCCGGAGGAGGCTAGGTGCCATGTCCCAAGGGGTGGCACTGAGGAAGAGAGGGTATGCTTGCAAATAAGACCATGGGACAAGGAGACAAGAAGGCAAATTGGTCCCAAGGAAAGGAACTTTCACACAGAGTTGCTGGAAAGGAGAGCAGGATTGTGCATTTGTATGCCAATCAATTGTCAAGAACTGTGGGAAAAGCAAAGTGCCAAATTGGGCAGTCCAGGTCAGTGTGGGCATAGGAACCAGTTTAGAGTCCAGAGGAATAAACTTTTAGGAGCAACCCAAGGTCCTAAAATACAATAGGAATCATTGCAAAAGCAGGAGCTTGATGAAGTAGCCAGCCTGCTGTTTTCTGTAGATTTTAACGGGCAGCAGATGCAATTTGTAGCACCCATTTTCAAATGTCATCTTACCAGATGTATTGGTGCACTGAAAGAGGGAAGGGCTACCTTCTGGGCTGCCACCAAGGCAGCAGGACAGCATCTTGTAACCTCAGCAAAGGCAGCTTGGTACCCAAGCAATTAAACACCCATCGGGTAGGCTTAGGTAAGATTTTTTAAGGGCTGACCTGTTTGGGGCAAAAAGGGTCCCATGGGTCCTGAAACTGATTAGTACAGGGAGCCAGAGACTGGGCATTCACCAGGAATAGGGAAGCAAAGCAGTAAGCTGTTCCTGGTTTTGCATCCATACTCCCTTCTACCTTCCAAAACTTCCAAAATCCTCAGTAGTTTCGGATGAACGTTTTAAGACCAATGTTGATGTTGCAAATTCTTCAAATTAAAAATCCCACCCAGCAGGGACTGATGCTTTGTGGATCTTGTGTAGGCATGCCACTTATGCAAATATTTATTGGCCCATAATTCCACACGATGCCACTTTTCACAACTCAATTAGACTAGGTATTCTGCATTTTCCAGGTTAACACTGAGATACATTAAACATCAGGAAAGACACAGGTGACAGTCACCCCCATCTTGCCCGGTCAGCCCCAAGACAGCTGCTCCTCTAGAGGTGATACTTGTGGTTGCAGAGCTTAGAGTGGTGTACCCGCCACTCAGCAATCTCCTGAAGAGGCAACATGCACCCAGCTAGGCTCACAGTCAACACAGGCACCTAGGACTGTTCCATGTGCCCTGCCAACCTGCAGATACCAACCGACCTCCCTCCATGCACTCACAGGGGAGGGGTATCCTAGGATGACTGCTAGCCACGTGCTGCCACCATGGTCCTCTGGGGTGGTGCCCAGGCCACTCCCACAGCAACAAGAGGAAGGGGAGTCCATTGTACTAATTTGCTCTTCAATGTGAAATGTCTGGTGCTTGCTACAGAACAGAAGTCTAGCTTCTGTGTTTCTGGTCACCCCACTTCTGACCCAAATTGTAGTAGGAGATATTTCATTTAAACTGAAGTCCAGGACACATTACATTGGAACACAGATTGGTTTATTGATGGTGCTGGAGGTAAAGACAGTCCCTCTTTATAGACTTATGCAAATTAGAATATACATGTGATTGGATAGAGCAGCCTGATATTTCATTGGATATAATGCATTATGTGTGGCCTGAGGTCAGTGAGGCCATGTTGTAGCCATGAGGTAATGGGGCAGGACTACACAAACAATGGGGTTTTGAAAGAACAAAGAGGCAGTACAGTATTTCATGAACATAGTTTCCTTCTAGGGAGTTGCTTTCTTCTGCTTTCCCAAAGATCTGCTCGCCTCTCAGGATCTTTTCCCAGTGTATCATTATTCCTTGGCCTTCCAAACGTTTTTATGGCTGAAGTGACAGTGTTAGTTTCCCTGGGGAAGTGTTTGTAGAGGGGGAAGTTACCCAATTTTGCACCACATAGCTGAGCCAGTGCTTCTGTTTGCCCTGGGAAGATGTATTTGAGTTAGGGAGCTTTTAACTTGCCCCCCCCACACCAAATTTCTCAATCATTGGCATCTGGCTGTCATCCTCAAGTTCAGGTATGTCATGAGTCTTCTGCTTCATTTTTCTTCTCTACACCCTAGGTTTTATGGGATACTGATGGGTTCAGTTTGTGCCCTTTACCTGCTGCCCCTCTGCTGGATCTTTGTTCTTCTTAATAGTGCCCTATTCTTGGGCAATGTGGCATTTTATCAAGGTAAGTTATCAAACTATTATAACACACTCTGTATAAGGCAGCCTTTAATTTGGAAGCTTCAGCTAGTCCAAAGTGCAGTGGACTGAAGACAGCAGATTTAGCAGCATAATACCTGTACTGGGGTTGCTGAACTGGCTGCTAGTCTGTGTCTAGGTACAGTTGAAGGTACTAGTTACTATCTTTGAAGCCCCACATGGCTCAGCACCCAGGTACTTTGAAGGGAAGGAATCCTAAGAGTTCCCACCCCATGCCATTTAGAACACCTTGCCTCCTGAGATGAGAAATGCCCCTGTCAGCCCTTCAAGGTAGACCAGACTAGGAGACCAAGGTCATGTAGGTCAGTGCTGCTTTATTGTAAAGCTATAACAACAGAATCTTCCAAGTCTGAATGTGCTTCCCCCTTCTTTCCCTTTATCTTAGTGAGAATTAGGCAGGGGCCTGTCTGAAGTGTTTACTCATGCTACATTCTCGCTCTGGACTCAGACCAAGACTGTTGCCTTGGTAGTGGCTCTTCGTCCTGTCCCTCAAGGCTATTCCCTCTGCCCTCTACAGCCCCCAATGTTCTGGTTTTTAGGAAGATCTTAAAAACATTTTTATTCTGCGTAGCATTTGGGTGCTGAGAGTCCTGGGCTGCTCTAGTCAGATTGTTGAGGATTTTTTATTGTAATTTTATTGTATGGCACTGAGTCCTTTGGGAAATGGTCTATCTGTAAATGATTGTATAATTAAAATGTAAACAAATAAACCAATTCACCCATGAACTACTCTATTGTGTTGGAACTTGGTAGAGAAAGCTGGAGAAGCTTGCTGAAAATGGCATTCAAGGTGGAGGCCTTTTTTGCTTTATGCTTGTGTGAAGCAAGGAATCCATTTTACCAAATTCTGTGGCTGACTCCTAATGCAAGTGGGGCTGGTAAAACATTTTAGGGCAGGGAGTGGGAGGAGAGCGAGCAAGAATTGTTTCTTTTTTGTGCTTCCTCAGTCCCATGTTGTATTTTGGTGCTCATAACATCTGGATAGCGATGCCATTTCCTACAATGTAACTCTGATAATGCTGGAAGCCTCATCATTGCAAGACATTCTACTTGGAGAAGCTCACTTTGCAATTGCTTGTGGCACATACTGGCAGAGAACAAGGGGTAGGATAAATAAGCATTTCAGTATTTATGAAAACGAGAGTGCGATGATTTGTGGATATTTGATATCCCTATGAAATGCACTATACATTTGGCTAGTTTTATGAAGGAAAAACCTCTTCAGAGTATAGCTCTTTCATTGAAACCCATTTCTAGCTGCTGTCTTCTTGCCGAATTTGTTTTTTGAACTTGCTAAAACCATAGATTGCTACAGTAATGCTGGACTGAGGTTTGGATCCTGGTCTTTCTTCTTTTCCCTTTTCTTTTTTGCCATTTGCTTGAGAAGGGGGTGATTATTGTACTCTTCCCACAATTGAAAATTGAGGCTTGTGGCAGATTTCCCCAAATTTCAGTGGTGTGTGGTTCGCGTACCTTTTCAGTGATGAGGCAACTAAGGGGATATCCATCTTCAGAAAGAAAGCCCTGTGTTGTGAGTTGTGTTGACAGTGTGATACTGCTGCAGCATCCCAGTTGCATTTCCTTCTGGAACTCGATACAGTAGGTTTCCAGTGGAAAATATACCGCAGAGATCCACTTTTGGTATGTGATTGAACAAAAGCCCTCTTGGGTACTTTGTCTCATGAAATTTAGGGAAGCTAACCCTCTCGTCCCAAAAATATTTGTTGCTTCATTATACAAAGCAACCAGAGTTCTTAGACCAATTTTCTGAGTTGATGAATAGTCCACTAAAAATCTAGAGGGATTTGATATAGACCTCTTATTAGTGGACAGCAGGAAAGTAGTACAAAGGAAAATAAACCTTGACTGGATGGCATTAAGGTTTTCAGGTTTTGTGTTAGAAGTGCATTCTGGAGAATATTCATAGCCATATTTGGCACTTCTGGTTTATTATTTTTTTTCCATGTGGTAGCAGGGAGTGAGGAAACTGAGATCATTAGACCATGGTGTGGTTACTTCATTCTAAACATAGGCTGGATTCAGATATCATTTTCAGCATTGCTTTGTTTTATCCATGATTTCTTCACCAAATTATAGTAGCCTGGGTTACATATAACATTAAGCCATAAATTATATTTTTACATAACACAATAGTTGGGTTCAGCGATTGCTGTACTGGCCTAGTGCAATGTGCAAGTTCATCTTCTGTAATTGAATCAGGACAGTGTCTGCTCTTCTGCCTGTACTTCTTGGCATTTGGACTGTGGTGGGTGTGAATGACCTGCTGCTCTGCCAGGGTCAGAAGCTTGAGCTGGTCTGTTGAGAAGTTCTCCTGAGCTCATGGAGGATGTTTGGCCATTTCTTGTTCTGTTCCCAGTGATGCTGGACCTAAAGTCAGCTGTAGAGCAGCGCTTGGGCTTCAGATCCATCCCTGTGGCTCCAGAGCCGGAAGAGCTGGATGTTGGAGAAGTGGGAGCTAGTGTCTTGCCAGACTGGACACCTACACTGGCTGGTACTGAGGTAAGACTTGGTGGAAGGAGCAAAGTAAAGAAATAATTACATCTGTACATTCTGAAATCATTCTATTTGTAGGATTTTATCTATCCTGGCATAAAAACCTTGTGACCTAAGGATTGCCTGCAGGGGTCCTCTTGGGAGAGTTGCCATCCTTCTCTTTCCTCCTCCTTTCTGGATTTTTTTTTAATCTCAGCTGATTACGAGGCAGAACGAATGCTGGTCTACATTTAGCAGGCAATGAGTTGCTAATTTCTCTGCTGTGCTATACTTTTTCAGCTCAGTCCTGTTCATTTACTAATTTTCTAAGTTTATTCCTGAACTCCTGCTCCTTTAACAGTAACTTCAGCTGTTGGCTTCTTTATAGGATCTGACCCCTGGCAGTGTGGAGGAAGCAGAGGAAGCAGAACCTGATGATGAATTCAAGGATGCAATTGAGGTCTGTGGTTTGAGAATCCGGATTGGTCTGTCCTGAGACAAGTCAGTCAGTCTACTCCAGCCCAGTGCTTTCCAGAGGTGTTGGACTTTAACTCCCAGTCCTTGACCATGCTGGGTATGAACTGTGGACATTACAGTCCAAAACCTCTGGAGAATACCAGGTTGGAGAAGGCTGGAAAAGGGAAATGTTGATAAGTCAGTGGATTAAATGTGGCAGGGCCAGGATATCAGGTGAGCCCTGTTGGTTGGTTTGTTGATGTTTCTTATTGATTGTTAAGATGGGATTATCTATTTGGACAATTGCCACATGCTATATTAATTGATTGTTATTGTAATTTCTTTTTCAAATTAATTTGGGATTCTTTGTTGTTTTAATTTCTCATTAGCTGCCCAGAGTTGAGATAGCAAGATGAGTGGCTATAAAAAGTGTTTAAATAAATAAATTTATCATTCCTGTTGCTAAGGTTAGTGATAGGATGCAGGTCAGGTTTTGTACCTATGATGTGAATACTTCTAGGTGTGAACAAGAAAGAAAAGGGACCTTTAAATAATTATGCTGTCCTATAAATGGAAAAGGATACACTTGAATTGGATGGGGTTGTACTGTTTTCTGTCTTTTGGCCATCTTCTCTTGTCTTTTGTCCTTGCTGCAAGAACAGGAGACTCAACTGCTTGTAATGGTGAGTGCAAGAACTGGGCTGCTGTGTCCTAAGCTTGAATTCCCTTTTTATTCTATTGTTTGTGATTTCTGACATCTTAAGATTCAGCCTTTGCTGTATTTTTTGTCTGGTTCATATCCCATCTCCTTATCCACCCTTCCAAATTTGAGGACTACCTTTAACATTTTTGTGCCACCCCATCCTTTCTCCAGGCTTGGCCCAGCTTCTCCTAGAGTTTGGAGCTGTACTTCTGGATTGTGCCTTCCAGGATGTCGTTATATTCATGCCCTCAAGTTTTTCACAGTGTGTGTACTGCATTCCTGACAACCTTTCTTTCTGTCTAGGAGGAGGATGACATCTCCCAGGGTTCAGGAGAGTTTGAACTTGGCCTACCTGACAGTCCCTTTATGAGCAAGAACGAAGTGATTCGTAGCAGGGTGTCACGGTTGACAGAACGTCTGCGCAAACGCTACCCAACCAACAACCTCGGTACTGGACTGAAAGATGGACATGGTAGAGAGTTGTTCTGAGAGGTGTATATTGTTAGGAATGAAGCAGGATTATTCAAGAGTATTGGCAGAAGTGGAGGCTTGATCCAAAAGCTTCTACAGAGAAAATTAGGACCAGGTAATGTTAGATGGGTCATGACAGAAAAATGTCATCCTGACCACAACTATGTATAATAGAACATTAAAAATATCAGGGCCAAGAAAAATCATCATCAATCTTGTTTGGTGTAGGGGTGGGAATCTTTTTTTGACCAGGGATCACACATGCCTCTTCCCAGTTTCACTAGTTCCCAAGGGCCACAAGAAAATATTTTTAGTTTTTGGTTTTTTTTAATCAATTTAATTATGTCTGATTCTTGGAGACTGCCTGGACAAATCTCTGCAGTTTTCTTGGCAAGGTTTTTCAGAAGTGGTTTGCCATTGCCTCTTTCCTAGAGCTGAGAGAATGACTGGCCCAAGATCACCCAGCTGGCTTTCATGGCTAAGGCAGGACTAGAACTCACAGTCTCCCGGTTTCTAGCCTGGAGCCTTAATCACTACACCAGACTAGCTCTCTCTTTTTCCTGCTTTTAAAGTGTGTATGAAGTTTTGTTTTAAAGTAAAAAAGCTACTTTAACCCTTTTGGAAGTTTAATACATTTACCTACATATATACATATATATCCATCGTGATTCCCTTTTGGGATAAGCATGTTCTCCATTTTGCAGAAAAGGAGTAAAAAATACTAGGCCTAATATTAATACTAAAGATAGCTAAAATTTATTTAGACCAACACCATTCACTATATCTCTCCGTAGCTTTCTGTCCTTGAAAATCATACTTGTTTCCACCATGTCTGTATATTGTTTCATGTGTTGTCTTTTGTTAAAGGGTCTCTTTTTGAGAATCTCATCAACTCTGTCAGTTAACTTCTTCTCATCTCATTCACTAATCCATGTATTTGTTTTGCAATTCAATCCTAGTTCATTCTTTCTATATGACTGAACCATTTATATGTACTTCCTTTTTATAGGTCTTGCTTTTTTGAAATTCATTCAACACCCATTCATCACTGATACTATCTTTTCTTGTTTTACTGCACACTCTCCTTAAGTTATCAATTCCCACTGCATCCAACTTAATCTTTTCCAAGTTCACCTGATTTGCTAGTTATTTCTTTAAAAAAAAACTTGTACCACTGAATTTCACCAACATTGTATTGAGAACTCTGGGTTAAAAAAAGAGGCTGGGTGCTAGGTCCAAAAATTGGTGGATATATTATACTAAATAATTGTGTTTTGAAAAAGCAACTTGACCAGAATCACTCAGTAAGCTGAGAGGTTTTATACCAGTCTTTCTCTATTTCATCTGTTAAAATTTGATGCCCTCTATATCTTTGGTTCCTCCTGAGAGTTTTTAGGTAGGGGGATACTTCACCCAATGCCAATTTCCATGTGTATATAGAATTGTCACATTTGTGCACTTGGCACAAGGTTGCAGGTTGAAGAATTGATGTCTTCCCAGAGAGGGACCATATTGAGTCAGAGCTTCCCCCCATG